AATAACAATATAAAAACACTTGGCTACACACCTGGAGATTAATTTCATTAATAGCTCGCTACACACCAACGGATTTTATGATGAATCTGGTTTGACGGATTAAATCCTTAAGTCCTCGATGGATTTGGTCCGTCGGACTAGGTCCTAAGTTGTGTTTTATAACGTAAAAATGAAAATCCGCTATATTTCGCGAATAGAATCTACCAGCGGACTAAATCCGCTAGTTAGTGGCCGAAATCCGTTGACTTTAGTGCTAAGGACCTGGTCCTTTGGTCTTGAAAGACGTACTGAAGACCTGAGGATTTATACGACGGAACACAGTTGCTTTATCAGTTATTATTGTTATGTTATTAATTTTTGTTAAGTAAATTTTATTTTATACTCATACATTCTAAATATATAATTGATATTTAATAATATGAATAAACATAATAATAGTAATATGCCTTCGAGAAAAAAAAATTGTTAGCTGCTGCAGGATTGATGGTCGTGTACCATCATACCTCGAGGAGAGAATTGAGTGTTAAGTAAGTCAAAAACTGGCTCACTAAAAAGGGCTTGTTTGGTCATATGCCATTATTAAAAGAGTTGAACGAAAATTAACTCAATGATTTGAAAAATTATTTAAGGATGGCAAAACCAGATTATGATTGACTTTTGAGTAAGTATTTAAAATATTAAAATTATACACTATATTATATTGTATTATACATTTATTGTCTACTTAGATTTACTAGCACGTTCACCGCCCAAGATTTTTTTGACAATCTTAGGACAAACCCAAACCTAATATGATTCATTTCTAGTTCTAAGTACTTATACTTTTATAGTTTTGACCTTGAAAATTCGTTTTTCCATTTCTTCCTGTTTTTTAAGGCTTGTCACATATTTGTTTATATGAACAATTATTATTACACAAAACCCAATGTCACACATAGTTGACATTGGATATTTTATTCTTTTCATGTTCAAAAGTGTTAATATACCAAGTTTATATTTATTTATATTAATTGGAATAATATAAAAAGATACATCAGGATTAGAATAAATAAACAAATTGTTATAGAATTTAAATAATAATAATAAAGTCCCATTACGATACTGAGACCAAGAAATTTTTTTAGTTCGTCAACATCAATATCATGCCACCTATTAAGATTTGAATATCGGCTATGTCCTTATTAATCACACTGTTTGCTCTTAGATTTATCCATGTAACAATATTTTTAAATAGTTCGTCGTCAAAAAATAGATTAAAATAACTGAAAGGTTCGGAATTTGGTACATTACACCGTAAGCCAGGAATACCGGTGAAATCAACAAATTCGGGTTCTGTATTTATATCAAAATTCCATTCAGAATTTTCAAAATCAATACCATTTTCCACAGAATTACCGTCAGAGTGTTCACTTTCAGATTCATTACCTGGTGGCAGATACTCTTCAGAACTACTATAATCATCCTCGTCTATGTCTGAATCAGAATTGTAATTTAATATTTCATTGATTTGTTCAGGATCCATGTTTTAACGTTTTTTTACTCGCAAACGATAATATAAAGTTATTAGAAAAATATAGTATCACCTTAATAACGATTTTCACGTGTTTGGAACAGTAATACCAAGTGAAAAAATAAATATAATAAGCAATGTAGAGAAAAAAAGATTATAAGATTATCACGTAACATTAATTTCGATTATCTCGTGATCTCGTGACACTAACAATAAACCACCTACACCGATAGATGGCGTAGGTAGCGCTTAAAAAACCAACATGCTGTGATATTTGTATGAAGAAACCCAAGCCCACGATAAATTATTGAAAATCATATACCGAATGTCACATATGTATGACATGGGTTTTTTTAAAGAGACCCCATGTCACACATATGTGACACTGGGCGGCGAACGTGCTAGGTAAATCACCACGGTTAGTTTACCACGCCTAACCAAACAGGATACAGTGAAGCGCCAGGCAATACCTGCAGAATAACGTCTTATAGCTACTTTACGGTTTCTAGCTTCAGACAGGTCATATGAGGACTTAAAATTTAGTACAGGAATTGCTACACAAACTCTTAGTTATACCTGAGACGTGTAAGGCTATCTATGAAGTATTAAAAGATACATATATGAAGTTAAAAATAACACTTTATTTACTTCATATAATTTATCAAAATCTAAATAAATTAACAATTTAAGAACTGAAAATTATAATAAATATTCAATATATAAAGTCCACCGCACACGACGCTTTTTTTGCTGCGTGATTGACTTGCTCGATTTCCTGCTTGGTCCCATGTTGGCTGCTGGATTGGATAATCTGATGGCTGCCTTGCGATGTTGGCATCACACGTTGATTGTTTGCAGGCTGGATTTGTAGATTTTATTACTTATCACTGATAACTCATTAGTAATCAGTAATAAGTGTTATCGCAGTTCGCGCCAAAGAATAATATTAATAATATATATTATAATATATTATAATATATATTATAATTAGGGTCCGGATTTGTATGCACTTAAAAACCTTAAAATAGTATGCATTTATGCATCAAAAAACCTTTAAATATGCACTAGATATGCTCTTATTTTTTTTAAAAAATATGCAAAAATATGCTCTTACCCAAAATATATGCATTTATAATTTTTTTTTTAATTTTTTTCTTTATATATTAATAAATAATAATTAACACAACATAATCAAACAAACTTAATTTTTTTATTACCGGCACTGCGACATCAACTTACAACATTAATTAAAGACAAAAAATGTTTAAAAATTACATTAAATTAATAAAGTGCACTTTAGTTAAAAATAATAATAAAAAAAATGTATTTAATTCTTTTATACCAATGAAGACAATTTATATATATAAAAAAAACAATTTAAACAAATAAAAACATTTTAATTACCTAATAGATATAAATCGATATTTACTTTTTATAAAAAGAGTTAACAATAATATACTCTTCCATATGTTCAGGTGTCATATTTATTCTTCTATCACTTAATATATGTTTATATAGACTGAAGGATCTTTCCACATCTACTGACGTCAACGGTGCATATTTCATATTTGCCACAGAGCAAGGATTGAAATTTTCTGGAATCTGTATTTCATTGTTACCTGATATAACTAGTCCGATTTGTTCTAGTACTTGAAATCCTTTATTTTTTTGATATAACTGAGATATTTTATTTTTTATGATAGAACCTTTGTCACCTTGTATATTTGATAGTTCGGAAATTATATTTTTCGTAATCTCTAACGATTGTAGTAATGTCAATTTAGTATCTTCTAAGTTTGTGATTGCCCGAATAAGTCCAGAAAAGTTAATTTTTATAAATGTTAAATCATTTTTCACTGTAGTCAAATTGAACATTTTTTTACAATTATCTACACTTGCTGAAGAATCATTATCTAGTTTTTCTATTACACTTTTAATACCTTCATAGTTATTTGCATTAAATATAACTGCCTCTATCCATGTCCCCCATCTTGTAATAACTGGTTCCGGGGGCAATGGTAAACCAGGTAGCATTTCTTTATATAGTTGAATACGAGAAGGTGACTTTAAAAAAGATTTTTTTACATTGTTAATTAATTTATTTACATCGGGGAATAACTCTCTTACCTTTTCTGCTTCTCTGTTTAACATATGTGCTACGCATGTTACATGGATGATATTTGGGTAAAACACTTTTAATGCATCTCCAGTTTTAACCATATATGGCGCTGCATCTGATAAAAACAATCTTAGGTTTTCGTCATTTCCCCCAGCGGACCATAATATTTTTAAACTATCGTTAATAAAACGAGATACGGTAGAGTGATTTGTTTTTGGCAGTTCTTTACATGCTAATAGATAGGGTTGACTTGGTGTATCACATTCTAAAACGCCAACTAATAAATTTGGTATATAACGGCCGTTTGTATCAGTTGTTTCGTCAACAGCAATCCAAATATTTGAATTTCCAATAATTTCTCGGATTGCATTTATAACATTATTGTAACATGGACCAAGATAATTTTTTCTAAGTGTACTTTCATCGGGAATATACTTACCTGTGTACTTTTCCAAAAAATTCTTGAATTCGGGAATTTGAAGTTTATTCCATGGTATATTAGCGACTATCAAAGCTGAACAAAGATCCTCGTTAAAAATGTTACCAGATTTAGGTTTTGCGTCCAATACAAATAATTGTTTTTTGTTATCATTTGTTTTACGATTTAAAGCACTTTTATGCAAAGCAGTATCAACGTGTTGTTGTATTTGAAATTTTTTGGTGCAAACGATTTTTTTGTCACACATTTGACAAAACACTACAGAACCGTCCGTAGTAAAAATTGTGTGGTCTGTTTTATTATACAATGCAATCCATTGTTTTATTAAAATTTGAATATTACTACGACTTTTCGTCATTTTAAAATTTACGAGTGTAAAAAAAATTATTAAAGAAATTTGTTTATATACGGAATGCGGATTACGAAATTATATTTATAGGCGATTACCGACTGGCGACTACAGCACGACGCGCGACGATTAAATACCAACTAAATGTAAAACAACAAGAGCCACGATGCAGCGTGTTTATCCAATATAAGACTTAAAATCACGATAATAATAATAATAATCATGCTAAAAATATAATTGTATGAAGGAAATTTATATATAACTGGTCTTCATTGTTGTCGATCGATGTGTTTCGATAAGCAAGATATGGTTTTAATACAAATTAAATATTTCCCCACAATACTTCATAAACTCATAAATCTAGTTTCTATAGTGAAATATAAATAAAATAACTATTATGTACCAAAATATGCTTTATTATGCCGAATTCTTCAAATATGCTCTCAACCTTAAAATATGCATTTATATGCAAAATAAACTTTTTTCTATAGATTCTCTGCTACACAAATCGTTCACATTTCTTACTCCCGTTGAACTGCATACACTCATTACAAATATGTAAATGCATAAAAATCCGGACCCTAATTATAATTAATAATAATATTAAAATGAATTTCGATTGCAAAGTGTGTTAAAAAGCTATCTTTTTTACAATATTTAATATAATTTAAAAAATGGATGCACTTGTAGCTGAAGTCGTCCGTCGCCGAAAAAATGCAATTAATGTTTTTTTGTTGATTGAAAAATTAAGACGAAGAAAAAATGTTACGAAGCCAGCCAGGTTATGGAGTTGTTCTTGGCTATTGCGTCGTGACAAGCACCAAAGTGTTCTGAATATGGTTTTTGAAGAACTTGGGTATGTCAACATACCTTGTTTTATATGGTTAATACTAAGCAAACATTATAATACCCAATGTTGTATAGTTTTTGCGCTTATGAAATCTTAAATATTGTTTACAAGTCTTACGCAAAAACAGTAATATATACGGTATCCTATATGTAAAGTTGTTCTTACATATATTATAATCTACATTTTTTATCTGAATAAAAAAAAGGAATTGATGATTCTAACAACATTGTTCTTCACAAGGTTCATGATCTACCTTAATATTTTTAAAAATCAAAAATCATTTCCATGTAGGTATTTGAAATATACTTTTGTCTGTGGAAAATGTATTTAAGTTATTGAATATAAATTTAACAGATCTATTATACTGACTCTTACAACATCTATAATACAACATTGAGGTACCCACTTACCCACCATTTTAATTTTAGTATTTGTTCATTTTAGCCCAGAAGATCCTGCATGTTTCACAAATTTTACCCGAATGCAGGAAGATTATTGGAATGAATTACTGACACTTATGACTCCTTTAATTCAAAAAAAGGATACAGTTATGCGTAAAGCAATATCACCAAGGGATAGACTTTCTGTTACTCTTCGATACTTGGCAACTGATAATACCTTCAAAGATCTGAGCTACTCCACACGCATTGCTGCCAATACTATTTCAAGCATTGTACGCTCTACTTTGGCGGCCATTATTCAAATTCTAGAACCTAGAGTAATCAATCTCCCATCAACAGCGGATGAATGGGAACTAGTTGGTCATAAATTTGAAATGTTATGGAATTTCCCTCATTGTATTGGCTCGTTGGATGGAAAGCATATCAATTTTCGTCCTGCTAGAAAAGAGGGATCCAAATTTAGAAATTACAAAGGGAAAGATAGCATAGTTTTGCTAGCTTTGGTTGATGCGGAATACAAATTCTTGTTTGTGGATATCGGAATGAATGGTCGAATGCACGATTCAGCTGTCTTCCGTGAAAGTCCATTAGGTAAGAAAGTATATTCCAATACTTTACCTTTCCCTTTCCCATGTGAAGTACCTGGATTCAATTACAAATTGCCATATGTAATTGTTGGCGATGATGCATTTGCCTTGAAGCCAAATTTACTGAAGCCTTATCCAAGTCGGTACTTGACACTTGATAAAAGAATTTTCAACTACAGATTGAGCCGTGCCAGAAGAACCGTTGAAAATGCATTTGGTATTCTTGCTAATAGATGGAGAGTTTTACTTTCTACCATACCCCTTGATGTTGATATGGTTGAAACAATTACATATGCTTGTGTGCTTTTACATAATTACCTCATCACCAAAAAAAACTCCCATCAGTGGTATGTACCTAACAACTATAGAATTTCAAACAATTCTAATACAAACAGTCATGAAGAACAGTTATCTGAACATCAGTATGGTTTGGAGCAACAGACTGGTAATCGTAGCTGTAATAACGCCTTAGAGATCCGTGATAAGTTTTGCGAGTATTTCAATACTGCAGGTGCGGTACCCTTCCAATATACTGCAATAGAAATGGGCAATCGGTAGTGACGTGAAGTTTTTTAACTATATTATATAACAATAAACTATATTTTGCGTATATGATAACAAATATTTTATTAACCTGTTGTTATTATGATGAGTAGGTTCCTGAGACAATTAATTATACTATATTATACTGAGCTTCTTATTTAATAAATTATAAATCTATAAGCAATATTAACAAAACATAATTGAATAAATATATGTTTATGATATTATTTATAAAAAATTATACTCTAATATTCAATTAATATTATACCTATGTAGTAAGTTGTAGGTAACTAGCAAGTAGCAGTGTCATATTTATGGATTTATCTATTGGTTATTACGATATATGACCGTATAACCTGTATCGAACCAAATATGAAATATAATTTTATTACAGGAAATTCCATTAGTAAACTTAATTAAAATTTTAATAAATTTTGCTCTAAGAACCACGAATAACGATACTGTTTTTCAAATATCACAATAATTAGTAGTTGTAATACACTATTTCTTCAGTCTTATGAAGTTCACAAAATAAATAATAATATTGTAATAACAATCAGTGTATGTAAATGTAACAACTTAATAGCATAGTTAAATATCCTACTAAATATCTTTAATAAAAATAATAGAAATAATAAACAAACTATTTCTTCAGTCTTATTGAAGTTAACAAAAAAATAATAATAATAATATAATAATAAAAAACAGTGCATGGAAAATACAAATGTAGCAATTTAATACTATAGTTAAATATCCTACTAAATGTCTTTAATAAAATAATATAAATAATAAATACACTATTTCTTCAGTCTTATAAAGTTCACAAAAAAAAATAATAATATTATAATAACAATCAGTGTATGCAAATGTAATAACTTAATACCATAGTTAAATATCCTACTAAATATCTTTATAAAAATAATAGAAATAATAAATAACTCTTTCTTCAGTCTTATGAAGTTCACGAAAATAATAATAAAAAATCAGAGTATACAAAAGTACCAACTTCATCAACAAGTTAAACATCATTGTTAATGTCTTTTGATTTTGCATCAAATGCAGTTTGGGTAATACTGTTCATTGCTTCCAGCTTTATACCTTCATTTTTTATGGTTCTAAGTAGTGATCCTATAAATACTACAAATGTATCAATTGAGTCTGATGACGGAGTCGGTGTATTCCTAATAATATCTGTATTGTTAATGGTAATCGGTTGACTCATTGACTCTGCAAGATGATTAATGGCGCTTGCATATTTGTCATAAATTGGATTGGAACGAAACTTTTTTTTAGGGCGGCTATTTGAATTGCTTGTTGATGAAGATGTTGATGGTCTTGATAGGGGTGGGCTGATATGGCTAGGAAGTGTAAAATGTTGGGAAGAACTTGCTGCAAATTCTTCATCAGTTTGTGGTTCCCTGTCGTCTGGCACAAATATTTCTTGGATTAACTCATTCTCTCCAAACTGCAAACTTTGATTACTAATTTCTTCTAATGTGTATATTATATTAGTATTCTGAAACAAACAGACATTTGAGTATTTAACTAAAGGACAATAAAAATACTAATTTTAATCTCAATGTTCTTGATAAAATAATTACCTCACATGGTAAATCTGTTTTTTTTCTTCGTTTTCCATCGAATTCCGGCTTTTACGAGGTGTAACATATGGATCCAAAAATAAAAGCTTTTCATAATACCATAAGGATGGTTTATAAATCTGAAATAATAAGTAGATATAAGATTCAACTTTGTGTAATATCATTAATTATAAATACTATAGTCTATAGATCACTGTTACTACTAAGGATATAATAATATGACTTTTAATATCTTTCTAATATGATTTTTGGAACTATGGTGAATTAAAAATCTTGGTGATTAATATGGCTTGGAAGTTGTAGGAGCTAATTAATTAAAAAGGCAAAATATACCTAATATTACCTTACTATAAACAATAAACTTAAATAGGAATTTAGGTAAGGTGAGTAGGTGGATATTAGTTAGTAGGTCAGATATAATTTACCCTAGATATATTTTTATATTTTGGCACCTTTGTGGTCCATAACAACCTATTTAAAATACCCTAAATACAAAACTTTCTAAAAATACTTACGTCATCAGTACCAGTCCCACTTTTGAATGATGTTTTAACTTTGGCATTTTCAATATTGAATTGGTTTCGTAGGTTGTGGAATTTTGTTGAACATTCTTTTGTATTTGTGAACGGCCTTAAGCTTGTCACAGCTTTACATACACGTTCCATGGCATCTGCTCTTAAGTGCTTATTGTGATATGTGGCCAGATTTGTCGCATATAAGCAGAGCTCTTCCTTATATGCATCAATCAATGTCTCTATTTGGTCATTCGACCACTTTTCAGATTTTTGGCTATGCATCTTTTACTTGTAAATTTAAACGTTGTAAACTTATTTACGTTAGTTATAAGTATTAAGTAAGGTAGCAACTTGAACAGTTCACACTTCAAACTTGTGCTTTTAAAAGATTAAAGACTAGATATTATTAATTATTATATTAATATTTAATATATTATCACTTGACACTTATCAGTATAATAATATTATCACCACGACGTAATCGAAAACACTGTTGTCGGCCCACGTGACAAGATTCTATTTTCTGATTGGTTGCTGCATAAATTGTTCAAACTATCACGCACAGAAAATAGCACATGATCTATCACCGAAATCCAGCCCGCGTTCACGCAACGGAGCCAGCAGTGACGTCATTTTCAATCACCGAATCCGTCAATGTTGCCATCACAGCTCCCCATACATGAACTAGCACCAAAAAAAGCGTCGTGTGCGGCGGGCTTAAGTTTTTTCTTCAGATTTATAGGTAACGACTTGATAACTAAAATAATAAAAAAAATAAAATTATAATAAATAGAAACTTTAAAGTATTCCCTCAAACTTTTGAGTAACAACTTGATTACTAAATAATTAAAAAAAATTAACATTATAATAAATAGATAGATAGATAGAATTAATTTTAATTAATTAATAAATTAGTATTAAATAATTAATAAATAGAACTTTATAGCATCTCCTCAGACTTTTGTGTAACAACTTTGAATCAAAAGATTATATTATAATAATAGGTATCAAAGTACCATAAGAATTACAAAATCATTAAAAACATTATTGATCATCAGTGAAATTGGTTGATGTATTTCAATTAAAAATTAAACTTTGAAAACTTTTTGCTTTTGATTTACTTGATTTTGTAGATGAGTCACTGTTTGGATATGCCATTGTACTTGGAGTGGAATAATATTCCGTTGGGAAAGATACTGCAGTGTAATGATCATTGGGCAATTGAGGTGTCTGTGGATTATTGGAAATATCAACAATATAATAACCCTCATATAGTAGTAGAAGTCCTTTAGCACAGATTTTTTGAAACAACAGTTCAGCATATATTTGTTGTTCGGTCTTCATTTTTTTTATTTTAGCTGCAAAATTAATACCCATTGCTTCATATTCATTAGGCATGTTATCATTAATGTTTTCAAGTAATTCAGAACACTTTTTCATAAAATTAGAGACGCTATCATCCATCTTCTGTTTTATAGATTTTTTTAGATTGAAAAGATGATGATGGTATTTGAAAACCCTGAATTACATTTTATAATATTAATTAAAATAATAATTATTCTTTTTAGCAACTTTAAATAACAGTTAACACAATACATAAGAAAAATTAATTAATTTTATATTTGTATAGGTGCTTCAAACATCTAAAGATTGGAAGGAAGTAGCTGATGGATTTAAGGATCGATGGCAAATGATCAACTGTGGAGAGTGTATTGATGGCAAACATATTCGTATTTGTCAACTTGCACGTTCTGGTGCATTATGTTATAATTATAAAAACTTTTATAGTATTGTTTTGATGGCTATTGTAAATCATAATTATGAGTTCATTTATGTCGATGTTGGAAAACAGGGTAGGATATCTGATGGAGGCGTAATACAAGCAACAACATTTTACAGAAAACTACAGGATCAAACTTTTAATTTGCCATGACCTACGGATTGTGATGAAAATCTTAATTTTATATTCATTGGAGATGAAGCATTTTCTCTAGAAGAACATGTTTTAAAACCTTTTTCACAAAAATCCCTTAACTATGAAAGACGGATTTATAATTACCAATTATCAAGGGCTAGGAACATAGTTGAAAATGCTTTTGGTCTAATAGCAAATAGATTTCGCATTTTACTGACATCTATTAATGTTAATACGAATTATACAAATTATATAGTTTTAGCAATGGTGCACTTCATAATTTTCTTATAAAACACAATTCTTCTTATGTCAAACCTACATCTGAAAACAGCGAGACACAAGACTTAGATGAAATTGATCCGAGTGAAATATTTTTTCCATTGCAAAGTTGTAACAATGCAAAAAATAGTTCAATGGCAGAAAAAAGAAACCGAGAAAAGTATTTAGAGCATTTTAATGGTATTGGAAAAGTAACTTGGATGATATGATTAGAAAAGGAAAATCATAATTATTTTAAATAACTCAAGACGTTATTTGTAATATTTTTATTAATTTATATTGTACTTATTTAGATAAAGAATATACTATATAACACTGTCATTGAGAGTCATGTTATCTACCTAAACTTATAATTACTACAGCATCATGTTAAAATTTAGTTACTATAAATGTATTTGCTGACCATTTTATTATAAAAATTTGTATATTATTAAATTTAATAGTCACTATCTAATCATTTAACCAAGTTTTCTTTTTTAATCTGTTGAAAAAGCTTACATGATTTTGATTATAATTTATATAATCGTTAGATAATATGTCACTTTTAACATTTTGTTCACAATATTTTCCATTATTTTCTGTCAATTCCAAATTGTTACAATCATTTTCTTCATCTATTTCACTACCAGGAAACTATCTATTGCCCACTCCCTCGCGCCGTCCCTGCATAAGATAAATAAACAACAAAAAATAATATATCCGTCTTGTGTGTGTCCATTATATGTATTCCATTTTCAATGCACTGTGTATCAAAGAATTTTAAAATGTCAGAAGGCATTAGCCTAGAATTTAGGCGGAAAGTTGGAAAGATTGATCAATTAATACAACAAAATAAGCAAGTGACTGAAATCGTTTTCTTCCAGGAAAATCAACTTTATATTCTATATATAATCACCAAGGAGTGGCATACTCAGAAACCAACATATGAAAAAATGTTTTTCGCCATGAAGAATTTACGACGATTTTGTGAATCTCATAACATAAAGAAAGTAGCTCTTTCCAAAATCGGTAACGGTTGCGATCTACTAGATTGGAAACAAGTTTGTACGATTATACGATATGTTTTTAAGAACTCTGATATCAATATACTCATTTATAGTATTGACACTTACTCAGAGGAAGAAAAACACAATATTATCGAGGAGTTTAGGAGTTATCCGTTAGGAGGTCACCAAGGTGTATCTCGTACCATTAAAAAAATTAAGCAACATCATAACTGGAAAAATCTGAAGAAGGACGTGATAGAATATATAAAAGCATGTGAATCATGTAAAATAAATAAAAGCGATAATCGCACAGTAAAACAACCCATGATAATAACGTCGACAGCGAACAAACCATTTGAAAAAGTTTGCCTGGATGTTGTGAACCCCTGCACGAGCCGCGGCGTAAAGTAGCTGACTCGGCAAATAGATACGCGGCGGCCGTGCGAGGGTCCGCACGACAACGAACGACTACGGCAGTCTTGGTGACTACGCAGTCAGTGAATGTTTAATAAATAATTGTCTATCATTTCAAATTTAATATAATTTTAGTAATAACATAATAAGTGAGTTTTACTTTACTAACGACTACACCTAAACACACACACGTTTATACACACATATATATGTATAATATATATGTATAAACGTGTACAAACACATACGTCCAACGTCAAGTGGGGTACTGGTACCCACGGAGTAGAACGGTTGGTTAAAACCTAGGCAACCGACAACCAAAAGAACTCTGTAACCTGCGGAATCAACCGGGGTTACAACATGGATATAGTACGACCATTGGAAACTACGCGGAAAGGGAATTCGTATCTATTAACGATTCAAGACGATCTGTCAAAATTCTCTTTAGTTATACCATTGCCGAACCATACAGCAAATACAATAGCAAGAGCTTTTGTAGAAAATGTTATCCGCCATCATGGTCTCCCTGAATCAGTATTGACTGATCAAGTAAAATCTTTAAAGAGTGTTGTAAACTACTGAAAATCAAGAAAATCAATACAACAGTGTACCATCTACAGTCAAACGGTGCACTGAAACGATCACATCGCACGTTAGCGGAGTATTTACGTCACTACGTAGATGAAAAGAAACAAAATTGGGACGATTTTATTCATTCGATGTTCACGTATAACATTCATCTTTAAAGTTTCAACCTCGTGAACTCGTTTACGTACATCCACTAGAGGTTCCTCGTACACTATCTCGTAACCCTCAACCATACTATAATTACGAAGATTTTACATTCGAACTCCGTAGAAAAATGCAAGAATCCTCTTTAATAGCTAGGGAAAACTTTATAAACAATAAAAAAAAGGCCAAAACTGGATATGACAAAAACCAAAACGAAATAAAAATCGACGTAGGAGATAAAGTCCTCATTAAAAATCATGTACGCAAGGGTAAGTTGAGCCATAAATGATTAGGACCTTACGAAATATTAAGCCTAGAAGAAAACGAAAACGTTTTGATTAAACGTGGGCGTAGAGAAGTTAGACTTCATAAAAATGAACTAAAAAAGTATCACCCGTAAAGTTGTACCGAAACTAACTTTTATGTACATATAGACTTATATTTTATACAGAATTCCTAAATAATTTTAATGTATAGCATCGGTTCAATATTATATCAATTATGTTATTTCTTTCAGAACTATTTCGATTGGAAAAGCAGAAAAGAATCACTTCAACATTACACCAATCGTTAATCCATCAGAGATTTATTTCCATTCAATTAATAATTTACATGTTCATAATTCTTATTGGCGATTTCTTACTTATATTAAAATTACAAACTATGTTGAAAAACACCATAAAATCAATAACATGATTAATCAAATCGGGAAGTCTTGTGAACTAGGAAAGTCTCTCGAAATTCAATCGGTACAACATACTTGTAATCAATACAAATATCAGGCTAACAATTTTTTTAGCAGAAATAAGTAATAATATAGAGCACGTTATGAGAGTTATAGACTCTCCGAAAGAAAAATATCGTAACAAAAGAGGTCTTATAAACATAGTTGGCAGAGTAGCAAACGTCCTATTTGAAATTTGTGACGATGTTGACGCAGAATATTTTTATGATAAAATTAAGGAACTGGAAATTTCAAAATCACGTATTACACGATTAATTGAAACCCAAAATCAAATCATGCAATCAATAATATCAAATGTAAACTCGTCCTTGTTAGAGATGGAAAAAGTACAGGTAAACCTAGTCGATAAATATAATTATTTAGTTCACGAAAAACAAGTAGAAAAAATCCATATAGGCATCTTAGAGTTCGAAACAGCTCTAGAGGAACAAGTGTCATTATTAAATCTAATTTTAACACAATACGCGCTTGAAACCGAAAACCTAGTTAGCATTATAAATATGGTTATTCAAGGACTCGTACACTCTAGTATATTAGACGTCAAAACGCTCAAAAACCAAATAAAAGATGTTAAAACAAAATTACCTGCTGGGGAAGGTATCCCAGTAAATTTAAACGATTCTGGAGTTTCAGAGTTGCTTCGGCTCACTACAACTAACGTTGTTTGTATAAAAGATCTATTAATTTTTAATATGGAAATACCTTTAGTCAATAATTACGAATTTATATTGTATAAAATTATCCCTCTACCCGTAAATGTTCACAATGAATTTTATGTATATGTAATAGTACCGTCAGCGGACTATTTAGCAGTAGATTAATCAAAATTGTATTATTTAGAGTTAAACGAAATTCAATTGTTAAAATGTAAATTAATTACAAACATGTTAATTTGCCCATATGACCATCAAATACGTCATTTGGATGGATCTTGTGAGCTAACATTATTTAGGAGACAAAATATATTACCTTAATCTTGTAAACTAGAATATATTAACTTTAACTTTAACATCTGGCATAGACTAGAGAATACTAATTCATGGATTTATGTTACAACTAGAGATATTATTATAATTAAATGTAAAAATGTTGTAGAAACAATAGCATTAGATATAAGTGGCGTAGGTACTTTAGAATTAAGTAACGAATGTGAGGCTAATATCGACGATGAAACACTCTTAAATACAAAAAAGAAAATAACAACAAAAATATTTAAAGATTATATTCCTCAATTAAACATTTCTATTAATAAACTAACGCAATTAAACACTAGGGACATAATGTTGAATAATGCACTTAATGTAGATGTAAGAAATTCAAAGATAAAAAACAATTTTCACAAATTATTAGAATATTCAAACTCTTTGAAGCATCTAAAAGATACTATAACAGAGAATCATGACATAAATATAAAAATTATTATTTTTATATTTTTTTTATTGCATCCATCATCGGCGGTTTAGCAGTTTTATTAGTATTATTGTATTTTAAATTTAAGAATAGTTGTAACAAAACGACAAATTGTATTGAAGAAAAGGCAACCCCAAAAGTATATGAAGAACTAAATTTAAATTCTATTGAGAATGTCTCTTCTAAGCCTACTCCAGAAAAATCTTTGCCCAGAATAATTTAATAATGTAATGTACAAAGATCTTCCATCTTCCATCAACCCTGGGGTGTTGTAAACGAGTAGTACTTAGTATATATACATTATTATTATTATTATTACTATTATTATGAATGTATAGATAATATGTACAGGTAGGCATTAGTCCTTTATGTGGGGAGTAATGCAAGTAAGCATTTTTGGAATTGACCGGACGCCTCTCGCCGTCCGTGTAACCAGTCGTGTAACAACCAAGCAATTGTAAAATCATTCTTTCTATATTATAATTTTCAGCGACTCAATAAAATTAATACTTTTAATTAAATTGTTGAATTGATAATTTCCTCGTGGTGTTTTTATTCTAAAGTGCGAACTTAAAAAACGTTACTGTAGTGCCGACGGACTCTACCGAGTTGACCCGATCTGGCATACAACAGTATCTATATACTTAATTCGATAATGTGATTGAGCTAGGATTGATTTTTTTTGTTTATTAATTATGTATAGCAGATTAAAATATAGGAAAGTAAGTAACAAAATATTTGATGAAAATTTGATATTTGATTGAAGTGATTTTACTTATAAAATGTAATTTTAATTAAGTGTGTACCATTTTATCCTCATATTACTATTTAGACTGAAATTGAAATATATACTAATAACTATAATAATAAATAAATGCTTTGTAATTCATTGCTATTTAATGATAATAAATACAAGCTTTAGTTAAAATCAATTATAAAATAGTTATAACTTTATAAGCCTATAAATATAATTTTTGTGTTGTACATGGGTAATTTAAACGAACGTTTTATCGTGAAGAACCATGATTTATATTTATGACTCTTTGGTCATTTTATGATTGTTACCGTAGTTCGTAATCTCGTTTCTTAGTTACCTACTTTCTTATATCATTTGATAATATGAACTTAAGTATAAATATAAGTATCAATCCACAGAATATATGAAACATATATTCAATCAGTCATTCAACATTTAACCGACAGGCGATAAGCACAGATCAGCATGGACGACTTAGATTTGTATGTTCAACTGAATGGCGTAGAGCTATTAGAACAAATCGAACAGGATTCAGTAAATGTGCAAAAGACTGAATTTATTAATTCTTTCGAAAGTAAGTTTACCTATTGTTACTCATTTTTTGTATTTAAATACCTATAATATGAGAATAGCAAATAAGTATCAATTATGAAGTTTTTATTTCAATAATTTTGCCAATAGTGTAAAATACTCTTCTTAGATATTTTTAAGTTAAGTATTTTTACATTTAAAAAGTAATGAGTTTATATGATAATAATTACTAATTAGTGCTTGGAACTATTTGCATTTTATTATTTCATAGAAAGCTGTATATTCTATAATCTGATTCGACACAAATTAATTTCATCATTATACATACAATCGAAGTACAAGCATTTGAATTGCATATTTTAAGATTTTAAGCATTACGTATTTAAGCAAATACGTATTGTGTTTGTAAATCAAACATAAACAAATTTTTACAACTGAAAAATGTAGGCATGATTAAAGAGTTACCGCAGTACCGCATATCATCTTGTCTATACGAGTACTTTTAATTATAATTTATATTATCCCACCAACTTGACGCGGACCTGTGCGGCAGCCGTTACCGAAACGGCCGTCACCGACCGTGCCCTTATCTCTCTCATCAACCACCACTTCGCGGCACGCAAAGTCGCAGCAACACCCCGTTCTCCCATCCATCACCGGACAGGGAACGCGAGCGGTCGCTACTACGTCCGACAGGTACCACCATCTGAACCGTGCTGTTTTTCCGAGACCGTATAACGATATACAGCTCTACTTTTCTTTTGTCGTTTTGACCACTGCCACCCATTGTGTACATCTTTTTGTGTGTTCTTATTATTATTATTATTATTAATATTGTTCATCTTGACCCTTAAGAGGATGTCAGCGTAAAATAAAACATATGCAACGCTCTAGAGATGGCGTTGAATTCCATATCGCCGCCGCCGCAGCAGACCGTGATCACGCCCATTGTCTACGCGACGGGATTCGCGAGTCATAATTACGGGAGAAACACATTATTATTGTATTGACTGTCGTGATGTGTTCTTCCGTAAAGCTGCGCATACACTAGACCCGAACCGACCGAACCGAAAAAAATCAAAATGCCGATATTATATGCGAGTGCATACACTTGTACTGAACCGATAGCCCGAACCGAAATTCGGGTCGGTTCGGATTTCAACCGTTCAAACATGTTTGAATTTTTCGGCCAAAAATTAGTGGCACTATTCTATGTATAGGTCCTACCTCTTGATTTGAGACGCAGAGTACCTACTATGTCCTAGTATTAAGTACTTTAGATATATCTTAAATCGTGATATTTTAGTATATATGATTTGAAAACGTGCGTTTTATCTAAAATTTTATCGACCGTTTCACATTGGTTTTTCGATAATGTGGTCGTACTAACTCGTAAGTATTTTAGTAGTTATAAATACATCGCACGTGAGAGTTGCTAAGATGTCATCTATAAAATTTGAAAAAGAAAGATTCATAAGTTTAGTATTTGCGGAAAACCAAATTATACAGATTATACGCAACAGGCGCAATTACTGTATACTAAAAATTATGAAAAATCATCTGTTGTTCAAGATTGCCAATATTCGTACACTAATTTATAAATAATAGTTACAAACGAGTGTCAATAATTAATATAAAGTAATGTACAATATTTTTAATACTAATAGTAGTTTAAATAATAAGTTATAATAAAATAGTCTATAATTCTGATAATAGTAGTTACAGTTATTTACAATAATTTTTTTTCTTTGAATATTTAAATACCTATATTTTATTTAAAAATTAATATTTATATATTTGATATATTTTTAAATTTTAAATTAATAAAATTAAAATAACTTTACCTGAGAGTAACAGCTAATTTTTCTTCGGGCTCAATGCAGCGTCTAAAATTTGAATATTTTGTCAAATCGCTTTTTATAGCATTTAAAATATATTCAAACGTTAATATATCCATACGAAAGTAGTTCTAAAATTTGGATGGGTAATTTTTTAAAACAGTGCATACATTTTGAAATTCGCCACTATCATCTCGTTGTTGCCAAAGTTTATGCACCCAATATCTTTTCTGTGATTTGAAGATGGGGCTTGTAGCGTGAACCAAATATGTGTCGCCACCTAGCGGTATTCCGATTGCGCAACCGGCGCCGACGCACCTGCTCTCTCTGAGATGCGTGGCGCGCGCACCTTTCGCGTCACTTGATAATTAATATAGAGCGCTCTCTTCTTTCACCGGCCGTTTTCTTTCCGTACTTTCTTTTACATTTTTTAATCTATATAATTAATTTCATTCCTTCAACTTATAAAAAATCATCAAAATACATCTTTAATCACCTATCAAAACTACTCCACGTCATAACACATCTCAACTTTAATAAAAAAAAACTACGGAAAACCAAAACATCATCAATCCACATTCTGCTATCCACATCGAGGTCGAACGCGCTTAAGTACCCGGCCGAACAGCCTCAAAATCAACCCTCTCGCAGTTGTCTAGCTGATATTCTACGGGTACTATGCATACAATTAGTTGTATTTTACTGTATGTGACATAGTACACCGTAGAAGAGTAACCTAATAAACTTGCCAGTTGACCGCCATCAACAGTGCCGCTGCCAGTTGTTTCTTCCGCCATCTCAAGTCCAGGACCCCGCCGCTTGTTCAACCGCTATCCACGTTGCCGCGGACACCCACGCCGTTCCTACGACCTTAGAGGGCCTGCTTTCCTCTACCCATTCAATATTTTCACCTAACCTTTCAACACGTTTTCATCTGCCCATTCAACCATTTAAAAAATCTTCATCAGTAATATAACCTCCCTCTAAATGCTATACATGTTTATGTCACATTTGTAAATTTTATTTGTTAAAATAAAAAGAAAAATTGATATTTATACTATAAAAAACTGTCTTATATACATTGAAATAAGATATATACGTACACTTTGGCAATCCCACACATACAGGAGAACCAAACGTTACAGGCTCTCCAATAAAAATGAATCCCATTCATCATCTGAAGAACTATTATATTCCATATTTTTTTATTTTTATATAATATTACTAGTAAGTTCAACAACACACCATGCGCTGCATTCGTCAACTGTCGAAAACTGATTATAGAAAATACAATACGTGGTTTACTCTAGTTATTATCATAAGTCACAACATAATATGATTATTTAATTATCTATTTAGCTATTAACTTTGTTTTCGGAACGAAAATTCGGGGACACTCAATGCAGCTGTACCCGAAAAAATTCGGACCGAATATTTTTCGGTTCGGGTCTAGTGTATGCGCGGCTTAAGGCGTATACGACGTCATACCCGCATGTGTTATCTCCGTTTTACACACGTACAACATGGAAAATTTTTCATTCATCAGTGCTGTGAATTAGTTAGTTTTGATATAAGAATGAATTGACCTATTATCAAACTTTTAGGTAAGAACATTATCTGTGTTCTGTCCTTGGTTTTTTACGATATTTTAGTTTTTAAGTGAAATGAGTAAATGTGAAAAATTAAGTAAGTATTTTTAAATGGCCCTAATTCACTTAAAAATTAAAATATCGTAATAAACCAACGAGAAAAAAAAATTGTTCTTCCCTAAAAGTTTGATAAAGTCAATTCACTATAATATTAAAACTGTTAGCATACTTCTGAAACTGGTGAATAAAAATTTACCATGTCATACGTGTATAAGACGGAGACAGCATACGAAGTCCTCTTAGTTATTTTGTTTTTACGTGTGGTCATAGGCGCAAATAAGGGGGGAATTTAGGGGGTATTAGCACCCCCTATTTTACAATTATCATCCTCAAATAATAAATCGTGTTTATGTATCAAAAACTTATTTTTGTCATCAGACATTTGACTATTTGAGTATAAAACTGTAATGAAATATAGATGAATACATTGTTACTCGACAAACGTCAATTCACATTTTGTTGAATTCACCGAAACCCTAATTTAAATTAATTTTAAAATAGGAACTTCATCGAAACCTTTATTTGCATTTATTTAAAAATTGGCTCATTAAATCCTTATAGTTTTAATATAAATTAAATACCCAATAAATACAGAGCTTAAGCACCCTGAGTTTTTTTATTGAAATTGCGCTTATGTGTGTGGTCGAATAGGTTCAGGACGGTGTTATGTGCCACAATACATATATAATTTCAACGCGTACCAATGCATTATTTAATATTTTGATTTATTGATCACAACGTTAGTCCATTAAATAGACAATACAATTAATTTTCTACCGAATTTGATAAATATTTATTTATTTTAAAAATAAAATAAGAATATAAGTATAGTTGTGAGCTTGGAGTTAAATCATTTAGAAAAAAAATATATTGTATAAGTATTCTAGGTTTTTAAAAATCATATGTATGAGTAATAGGAAAAGTAAATAAATACTTTATTTTTAGTTGCTTGTTCCTTTAAAATTCTTGATGGATCGATAATATCAGTAACTAAAAGTCTTTTGCCAAACTGCGGATTTATTAATTCTGGCAATAAACATTAATTATAGAATCTAAATTATAAGATATTATATAGTTACATTTTTGGATGTAAATTTACAAAATAATTAAATAAAAAATGATTTGTTATAATTAATAATATACTTACAAATGTATTTGAGATTTATTTTTTGATACCAAAAGTTATCATTAGTAATACAAATATTATAAAACCAATTTTCCATATAAATAAAAAAATTGCATTTTTTCCTTTTGGTAACATGTAATTGAGTCTGAATCTGATAATAATAATTATGATTTATTTTTAATAGAACATTATTTTGTTTGTCTTTATAACAGAAAGGAAGCTGCAGAAATTTAATTTTTTTAAATATATTATGTAAGATAGGTATTAATAATCTAAACTTAATATACTTTTCCTGTGTTGATAAGCATCAAATATATTAGAAAAATTCCTAGCTGAAAAAGGACATTTTATTTCGATAATCGAATCTTCGCCGATGAGGCCATCTAATTAATATAATTATTGATTTTGATTTTAATTATTTTAAATAAATTTAAATTTATTATTTGTTATTTAATAGTTTTAACTACCTGGACTTGCTGCCAAGTATGGAATTTTTTCATCTACACACAAACACACCGGAGCAATTTTCAAATTGTTTTTTTGCTTCGATTTCCATTACTCGTCCATACTCGATTGCCTTTATTTTCATATTTATGCTACTATATAGCAAATCGTAGATAATCTTTTTACAATATGTATACTGTCTCATTTTACATAGTTTTCCAATTTTTGAAGCAGTAATTCTTTTTTTTCTTTCGGAATACCAAAGTTGGGATTTTGCTCCCTGGTGTAATTTTCCAATTGTTCTGAAAAGTTGAAAAAAGATTCAAATAACCGATTTTATTTCAGTTTTTTTTTTTTTTTTTTTACCTATTAGTGGTCTTTAATTCATCTAGAAAAGTTTTTTTTCGTAAATTAAATTCTTCAGAAGGTAAATCACCAACCAATTGGTCCGCTAATCCATAATTTTCATCTATCCACATTTTTTATTTTTTTTTTATTTTTAGAAGGAAATAATTCTCGTCTTCTTGTATTATTACGTCTGTAAGGTTACAACTATCTGAATAATATAAGTAATATGGCTAGACGCAATGGACCTGGTTGTAACTTACATGGCGCATTATTCGAGTAAATATATATATATAAAAAAAATAGGGTTACACTATTAAATGTTTTTCATGTAATAAGGAGGGAAACTTTGCTAACCAATGTAGAAACAATACAACCGGTAGAAATAATTTTAACACGTTCACGACCGCATGTCAACTATTGTTGACATGGAGTCTCTTTAAAATAACCGATGTCAACTATAGTTGACAGGTGGTTTATTTAAGTAAATAGGGTTTCCTGATACGTGGTTTTTTTTTAACAACCATATAAATTATATGATTTTATTTAACACATTTTTCTTTATCATTCGGTATCATTGGTTTTTGAATAGCTCCACTAGATCGCGTTTTATTTAATGTACAAAATTGTAAAACACAAGCCATTACCCTGGGTTTCTCAATCGTACAAACATTTGCTTACACGTCTGATAACGTTGATAAACAATTCAATTTCTTTGATATTATAATATTTTAACATATTACTACATATTCAAATAAAATAGAATTTTTTTAAAAGATCGTATTACAGTTTCATTTTTTAAGATGAATGCTAATGAAATCTCAGGTCTGCTTGACTTGTCTAGTTCAGATTCGATTGACGATGATTATAGTTCTGATGAGTATGTTCAACAAGATTCAGATAACAATAATAGTGATGGAATAATCGAAGATTCGGATTTAGAGGTTGAAATTACAGATAATGATTGAAATTCAGATATAAATACTATCCCTAAGTTATTTGATTTTACTGGTAATACTGGATTGCAATACATTTTATCAAGTAACAATCCTCATGATTACTTTTCTTTATTTTTTGATGATAATACTATGAATTATATAGTGACTTGGGTAAATTTGAAAGCAAATATTTTAAGATCTAAAGGTGTAAAGAAACGCTCAAATTTAAGTAGTTGGAAAAATATTGACATATATGAATTGAAAAAGTTTATTGGTCTCAGTTTACTTATGGGTATTCATAAACTCCCTGCTATACATTTATATTGGTCACAATCAGAAATTGATTATCATCCAATTTATGGCCAAACTCTTAGCCGAAATCGTTATGAAACTTTTTTGAGATGCTTATGCTTTTATGATCCATTTACAACAGATAAGTCTGATCGTTTACACAAAATTAATAATGTCCTTGGTCCTATAATTTCTAATATTCAAACTAAATACTATCCTAAAGAATGTTTATCATTAGATGAATCTATGCTTCTGTGGAGAGGAAGGTTAAGCTTTAAACAGTATATCCCTAGTAAAGCACATAAATATAGAATAAAATTTTTTGAACTTTGTACTGATGATGGGTTCATTTTAGATTTGATTATTTACAAAGGTAAAGGCATAGTAACAGATTCAAGAGGAGTGACATTTAGTATTGTGGATAAACTAATGAGGAACTATTTAGGAAAAGGCCATACACTTTACATGGATAACTATTACAATAGTGTACAACTAGCTGAATATTTGTATGAAAAAAAAACTCATGTAGAAGGAACTTTAAGGAAAAATAGAAAAGAAAATCCTAGTAGTATAACTGCTGCAAAATTAAAAAAAGGTGAAGCAGTTCATGCACAAAAAAAAAAACATTCATGTAACAAAATTGGTTGATAAAAGAGAAGTGTGTATGATATCAACAAAACATAATTTTGGTTTTGAAAATGTAACTGATAAATTTGGTAGACAAAAATTCAAACCTACTGTGATTGTTGACTATAATAATCACATGTCAGGAATAGATAGAGCTGATCAAATGATGAGCTACTATCCAATGCCCAGGAAATGCATGCGTTGGTATATCAAAGTATTTTTTCATTTAGTGGATGTCTATTTATGGAACTCCAACTACTTATGTAATTTACAAGTATCAAAAATTAACGTATCTAAAAATCTAACGTTGGTAGAAATACCAGTATCTAACCCTACTATAGAAAATAAAAACATTATGATAAATAAACAAGAGTTAATAGATGGAGTATACATAGGTAACGTCGTAAGTACCTTAACGGTAAGGTAGTCATGACTATTATGAATATATCAGAAGTCACTAAACACATAACCCTTTCACGACGATTACACACATTTGTGTAGGTTAGCGTGTGCCTAATTAAAAACGAATATAAAATCATACAGTGATCAGTTTTAAAACGATGCTACGCAAATGTGCAGGTTTTTTTGGACCCTCTAAAAACCTGGATTTTTTTTTTTTAATTTTTACAACTTTTTATTGTTAAAATGGAATCTGTATACAAACATGATTACGTTTTAAATAAAATAAAAAATTTTAAACCATTTGAAAATCTTAAAAATAAACCTACACATTTTTAATAAAAGACAGAATAGATTTAAATATTTCACCTTTTTTTCTGTTGGAATAGGTGCTCTAAAATTTTGAACTTTGTTTGGAGGTTCTTCATTTGCATCGACAGGATTTTTATCTCCATTTGGTCGTTTTTTTGTTAATTTGTGTTGAGAGCCATTCTTTGGCGATATTGATTTTGAACTCCATTAAATCTTTTATGTTTTTTTTGGGAATCTGCATTTTAGTTGCGTCTTCTTTGTACTCCATCCAAGCATTAACATTGCTAAGTCTATGAAGTGTATTGCAACTTTTACCATCCACTTCTTCGATTTAAACCATGTGCGGTAAGCTTCCATTTGTTGATTGCACAAGTCAACGCCGCCCATATTTTTATTATATGATACTACTACTACAGGACAAGGAACATTTATCTCTTTATTTTCGGTTTTACTCCACCTTTTAACTATTTGATGTGGTTCTGTACCTGTTGTTGTCGATACCATTGTTACATATTTACTGTCTTTCCATTTAATGGCAGTTAATTTCTGATCAGCTCTTGTAAATTACTCCTGTAACGTGGTCGGGGATGACCAGTTAAATATATGATATTCAGGGAAGGTTTTCTAGTCCTCATGAATATATTGTACCGTAGCACGGGAGCATAAGAGGAAAGATCTTGATATTACAAATAAATGTAGATTGGCTTAGATTTAGTTATTATTTAATATACATATATAAATTAGACTTACGGACTATGGAGTTCAGCTACCTCGGACGAACGTTGTGGCAGAACTGCCGCGACTTAATGTAATAACATGTAAATTAACGTGATGAGGACACCTGCCAGTAAAAGGTACCATCTGTTCGTCTATAGAATATAAACGATATAATATAAACGATAATATAAACATTAGCAATAATCCAATAGCAATAGATAAGATGCCCAGTGTCTCCCAAGCACCTTTAATGTAGAAATTTCTTAGCACCATAATTTGTCAATTGCATACAATAATTGCTATGGTAACAGTGCAGCCACAACACCACGTATAAAAACAAAAACTTTAAACGACCAGATACCAATAACGATAAAAAATAAAAAAAATCAGTCAAAATAGGCGAATAAGTCCCATAAATATGACAGTATAACTGCAAAATCGATGTGAAAAACAAATTGTGTGAAAATGCATACATATTTACATTTTTAAAGTTAGCCCCGCCCGACGGCATGCGGCAATACGGATTGCCGTAAAAACGAACATTTTCGAAACTCGTTTTGAACGTGTTCCGGAAGAGCGCGGTCTATTAAAATAATGTCAGTGGCATATGAGGTGATGTTTTATGCTGTGTGAAAATATCTAAAGGAACACTTTGGCCAATTTCGAGATATACATTTTTAAAGTTAGCACCGCCCGACGGCATGCGGCAATACGGATTGCCGTAAAAACGAACATTTTCGAAACTCGTTTTGTTTTTTGTAGGTATTCGTTCATTTAACTGTTGAGTTAATGTGTCCACAAATGGAAGGAATATAAAGATTAAAAAAAAAATGTTTAAGGTTACCTGTAGAACAATTTTATCTATGTTTTTTTTTGTTTAACCTTTTATGTTAATGTTTGTAATAATAACTTATAATGGTATTAAATTTTAATAATAATTAACCAATATAAACCTACATAATTATGTAACATAGTATTGTAAATAATTATATATTGAGTAGTGGGAATAATTAACTATGAATACAGTATAATTTTTAAGTTGAAAAAATAACAGTTGTGCCAGTTTTATTATATTCAATGCGATTTCTTTAATCTTTTGTTATTAACATTTACTTTATTTTCTGTGCGTTTTTATTTGTTTATTTATTTCATTGTTGAAACAATTAAAATTCATTGTACAGTGATATTTATTATAGTTATCTTATAATGATATATCTAATACCACGGTCTATAGGTCACCTCGTCACCAAAGAAATCATTTGTATGAGTACTTACCTACTTACCTACCCAACCAATGTTGTATGCTAGTGTTACGAGGAGTCTTACTTCTATGTATTAATCAAAATTATAAATACCTAATTAATTATGTTATAACTATTGGTTTAACATTGATAATTTAAAATTTTATTAAAGGTATCCATTTTCATTTCCTAGAAAATTATAGGTTTTTCAATTTTTTTTTTATGTTGAAAATTAAAAAAATAATTTCATAATGACGTCAAGGGTGTCCATAGGAAAATTCTCAATGGGGGACAACATTTTAATTTATCAATCTATTCATAAATAGGAATGACCCACGCGTTGGCGTATCTAGAGGGAGGCTTGGGGGGGCTTAGCCCTCCCAAAATTATTTGTATTATTTTTGCTCATTTCGTTGAGTATTCTTTTTTTCATTTAGTTTATTGTTTTTTTTTTTTTTATTATTATTATTGTTCTTACAGCCCCCCCCCCCAATATATTTGATCACCTTACGCCTATGGACCCACGATATAGGAAGGGGTTAACAATTTTACATTATATTTATCAAACTGGAAGACTATAAAATAATATATATTTAACCAACTAACCATAAAAGTAATTTATTTTAATTTTTACTTAATTAATAATATAAATTTGACACTTATTTTCCAAATCAAATAAATAGATTTTTCATAAACAAGTTATAGGTTTTCATATATTAAATTAATTTTTTAAATTCTGTTTAAATAAATGTATTCTGATCATAGTACACAATTTTCCAAGATTTTTGACATTTTCCAGGGGGGGCATGTCCCTCCCTTTCCCTCCCATATGGGCGCCCTTGAATGACGTGTTTAATAAAAACGAAAAGCATTTAATAATTTTATAATTCTTATCACATTATATCAAGCCGTAAACGTAGATCGTACATACAAAAAATGTTGTTAATTTTTCTTTCCCAAAAGTGTTGGTTTTTGGGACTTTGTTCATATTATGCGCTATGTAAAAATCTTCTGCCTCAGAGAAATATGCAAGTGCATAGCTACTTATGAACAAACGGAAATTAAAGCTGCAAATTATATTGTGGGGCTCTGGGGGGTGTTAAAATGTACTTGATTTAAATCGAGGAACATATTAAAATTATTGTTTCACAACTTAAAGAGTGTCAATCAGGGATGAACGCATGTAAAAAGTTGAGTGGTGAGGTTTTTGAAAAAATATCATAACCTTAGTATTGTTGTTTATTAATCTTTAATGATAAGTACATAATTGGTAATAATAATATTTTGTGGGTAGGTTCTTTTCGCAGCAAATAACCCGACATCGAAAGATTCGCGGCGAAACGTCCTAGACCATAGATTAAATATATATATTTAATCTATGCCTAGACTCACTAAAGTGTATACAATTCTGACATATTTTATTGTTTGCTTAGAATACATTTTTTTTATATAATTCTTGGTTTTTTATTTAATTATGCCCCCCCTCTGATAAATCTTCTACGGGCAACCATGATTAATACCATAGAAATGTATCTCCAACATGTACAAATAAAA